TCATTCCTGTGACTTAAATATACTCTTTGCAAAATGAAGTATAAAAAGTTTTCTGCAAGTTGAAAAAAATATATATATATATACATATCAGTAGTATCATCTCAAACCCTTGAGCAGAATCAGGCATCATCATAACCTTCTGCCCAAGGTCAGTATCTGCAAAGATGACCAGAATGGTGTCCCAACACCTCCTGGCTCCTCACTCTGTAGTAGAGAATAAAATAAATTGTGCTTTGTCTAGGCCAAGCAATGAAAAAGTTTATTGGACTGGGTAAAATACAAGAAGTCCTCTACATGCGCTGTCTCATTATTGCTGGGCTCATTCCCCTGAGCTGGGTTTCATCAAGTTCCCAGTTATAAATTATACTCTGTTGTTGGACACAGCTGAGAATCTTGCATTCACCATTTAACTGGCTTGAAGCCACACCTTTTTCACAAGCTGAAATGACTACCGTCACTGTACAAAGTCCTTCCAAGAATATGCGGATACTGATTTAGAACCACGCCAGATCCACGTGGTGACCCATAAATAGCAAAGGACATGCAGGGCTTCCTTAGAAAGCTCTGGTCGGAGGTGACATCTGAGATCACAGAGGATGACAATGGCTGTAACCTACACAGCCTCATGTGACCAAAAGGACATCTGAAGGGCCTTTATTTGGAAATGGGAATGCATTTCCCAGCATGCCTACACAAGCCTACCTGACCACAGCAATATAACATTTGCAAGTCTACCTATGGGCTTTAACTGCTTCCATGTGATGTTGTAGTTTAAGTTCTTACTTAGGACACCAGAAACTCAGGTCATCACCTCAGGCCAGGGCAGCAGACGAGAATGGGGATCCAGCAGGAGAAGGACATAGGAGGGGCGTCCCTGGTGGCAGAGATAATCCTTTACTCAGGGGTTCAGAATTTACAGCCACCTGAGCCTTCATATTTCTTTTTCTTCCCTACTGAACAATAGGGGCAAGATATAGGATCAAAAGCTAAAGCAGGTATAAGCTCTTGATGTCCTTCAGTCACAAGCATTCCTGCTTCTGGTGAGAAGCCAGGGCTCATGCACACTGGGGCAGAAAGTGTCCTTTGGCATGCAGTCGCCTTCTGTGCAGGTGGAGACAGACAGGGTGTGTTCTCATGGATACGTGTGCCCCACTGAGTCTGAACACTGACCTGTACCTAAGGAAGAGGCTATGGAAATGCCACCTAAGAAGAGTTGTGAGGAAGCCTCGGCAGGGGCTCTGACTGGGAGCAAGAGAGCCAGAACCCGGCTCAAAGATGAGCACTGCTGTGTGCAGCTCCCCTGCCTTGGCTCAGACATTCTTGAATGATCAGGGCAAAAGGCCACTGAGGGAGAGGCCAGGTGAAGACTACGGAAAAGCACGCTGACGGTGACTCATCAGCGGCGAGGCAGGACGGGTGCAGCGACAGCACTTGGGCTCCAAAGTCCGACCCCTGGCTTTTGAAACCTGGTTTCTTTCAAAGCCGTGTGACTTTGAACAAGCTATTAATCTCTGTGAGGCTTGGCTGCATTATCTTTAAACTGGGGTTACGCTGAGGATTAAGTGGGCCAATTTGCATAAAGTGCTGAACAGAATACCTGTCATATGGTAAGTGCTTCGTAACTGTTAGGAACGATGATTCCAGCAACTTAATAAAAAAGCATTTAAAGCTCAAATGCATCAAACTAGGTAAGAGGGAACAAAATCGAAAACATCAAAACAACAAAATAATACGATGAAACCTCAGAAAAGATATTGCATTAACTAAGGATCTAAGTCCAAGAGCCAAAGGTCTTTTAGTCCTTACATTTAAATAAAAATAAAAAGAAGGGAATGTGTGTGTGCCCATGCACATGTTTGCATTCTTCAGCATTTCAAATGGGATAATGGGTTTTTTTCTAGGGTTACACGGCAAGTACTTTTAGCCCCAAATGCAATGTAACAAATCACTGCATAAGGAACTTAGGGAGGCAAACAGCTAAAGTTTTCATGATGTGATGCTCCAATGATGATGCAGCCTTGGGAAATGCTCATGGAAGAAATAAACCACAAGCCAGGGCAAAAAGCAGGAAAGGCAGGATTTGGGGGCAGTGCTTAGCTGGGGTGTGACCAAGAGTCTAGGGAGTAAAACCTTTAATCCAAAGAGCAGCGGCTCTTGGTCCTCAGAGACCAGAGAGCTTGGAGGGAACGGTGTGGCCCTTGGCTAGAGGCCAGTAGGACAGGCCCAAACTGGCCTGGGTGGGCTGGAGGTGACACCAGAAGCACAGCTACAAGGATATGTCAGACTTTCACTAGCACCCAGGAGAGAAACCACGGGTGCAGGCAGCTTCCCTGTTACTCCACACACTTCACTTCTGAAAGCGGCCTGACCACATCCACTCTGCCTCCCCCCTGCCTCTGCCAGCTCCTCTGAATGTCTCTGCGCCTCACCACTGCAGTGCCTCTTTCTACGACGGTGTTAGTCTCAGACTAGAAGATGGTGAGCTTTAAACTTCTCAAGTACCGAGTGCTCTTTTCTTTAAAAAAAATCTTTTTATTGATTTCAGAGAGGAAAGGAGAGGGAGAGAGAGATAAAAATATCAATGATGAGAGAATCATCTATTGGCTGCCTCCTGCAAGCTCCCCGCTGGGGATGGAGCCCACAGCCCTGGCATGTGCCTGGAATGGAACTAGGACCTCCTAGTTCATGGTCGACGCTCAAACACTGAGCCAAATTGGCGGGGCAATGTGCTGAGCGTTCTTCACACAGACAATATTACAGACTTACATACTTAGATGGGAAAGAGCTTCATTTGCCTACTTCTACCCGCAGAAGCCTACAAGTTCCAATTTTGAGGATCACAGTTCAAGGCTCTGACACTGATGTGCATTTACCATTTCAGGGCCCTCGGTGAACAATGGGACCAGAGAGACCTGGTGTGAATCCCCGGCTCACCTGCCCTGCCACATGGAACTAATTACTTCCCCTCCCTGAAGCTCAGGTTCCTCCCGCTAAATGGGGGATGATATGCACTTTGCATGAGAAATGATGAATAAATGCAAAGAGATAATGATAGGAGATAAGATCTTGGATATCAGCAAAGTACCCCACCCGGCCCCTGACACACAGAAGTCCCTCAATACTAGTAATTGCAAGGGTAGGATAGTATTGCTGCTGGTCTGCATATTAATATTCCAGAGCCCCAAAGAGGTTTATGGGACTCACTGCAAACTGAAACTGATGCCCTGAATGAGCCATTTCAAAAGCAATCTGCTCCTGCTGTCTGCAATTCACCCCCCTTAACTGCAAGGGCCACTGGACAGTGCAAGTAAACCGTGTAAAGCAGTATTTCCCAAACTTTTGACATATGTGTACCCCTTCTATAATTTTCCTAACGCTGAGTACCCGTCGTATTCATGAGAATGTAGAATTAGGCGCAGCTAAGCACGGTGCAGTGCATATCCCCACCAAACTCCAGGGCAATGCATAATCCCACCAAACTCTTTCCGTACCCCCGGGGGTACGCATACCACACTTTGGGAAACACTCCTGTAAAGAGTTAACAGGGAGCATGACAGTGTTTGGGAAAACTGTAAAATTCCTGCCCCATTACTGCACAGTTGGTGAACCTTTCATCTGCCACCCAACTTCCTCTGCTCTGTCAGCTTCCTAATTGTCTAGAGCACATGTGTCAAACACAAGGCCCGCGGGCCAAATCCGTCCCGCCAGGCCTTGCAATGTGGCCCGCACTGCGCTGTCATCACTGCACTCCGCTGCGTTTCCATCACAATGACAGTTTATGACTGTTCAGTAAACCATTCGGCCCGTGATTTAGGCTGGATTTTAGATTTTGGCCCCTTCTCTGATTGAGTTCGACACCCCTAGTCTAGAGGATGTGATGTATCTGGCACAGGAAGGAGGCCTCAGAGCAAGGTTCTGGGAAGGAGGCTTTAATAAGCGTCTGGGCTGTAAGACCACAAAGGAAAGAGCCTCGGCCAGGACAAGCCATGCCGGAGGTATGGTTCCCCACAAAAATGAGAGCAATGCCTGCAGGTGAAGGCAAGTTCTCGCCCACAAGCTGGAAGACAAGCCCCGGGACACAACGGTGTCTGGAAGGCCTTGCAGATGCTTTCCTCGGTGTGCAGAGGAGTAACAAAGGAGTGTCAATAAAAGCAGACCTGCTTCTCCACACTTGACAATTCACTTACCTGCTTACTCACTGTGGTCCAGTTAACACCTGTATTTCCCTTCTTAATCATGGACTCATTCATTTGTCATTAGTTCATTCATTCCACTAATGTTTATGAGGCATCTGTGTGCTAGGCACTGTTTGGGGCATTGAAGATCTATCAGGGATAAAAGGGACAAAATCCCCTGTCCTCAGAGGCTTAAATTCCAGTGGAGAGAGACAACAGATGAAGATACATACAGAGAATGTGAAAAGGTGATAGGAGCTATGTAAAAATAAGAAAGCAGGGAAGACAAGGACGTGCCAGAGAGAGGAGTGTGATTTTAAGTAAGGTGGTCAAGGAGGCCTCATGAGAAGGTCATCTTTTATTTTTAAATATATTTTTATTGATTTCAGAGAGGAAGGAAGAGGGAGAGAGAGAGAGACATCAATGATGAGAGAGAATCATTGATTGGCTGCCTCCTGCATGCCCTCAACTGGGGATTGAGCCCACAACCTGGGGACGTGCCGACTGGGAATCGAACCAGTGACCTCTTGGTTCATAGGTTGAGCTCAACCACTGAGAAACACTGGCCAGACAAGAAAGTGATATTTGAGCTAGGCTTGAGGGGTTGAGGGCATCCCAGCTTTCTGCAGTGCCTACATCATGGTCATACCATGCCAAGCCCTTTATTTCTAAGAGCATTCCGCCTCATCCTCCGTGGCATTTAAGGTGTGTGTGCTCCCAGCAGGCTAGGCCTGACCTCAGGGTGGGATCTGGGCCCACAGTGGGTACCCAGGGAATGATCCCATCCAGGAGAGGTGGAGTGCAAAGGCAGCCGGGCATGCTCACCTCCTCCAGCCGCCGCCGCTGCTCCTTCTGCTCCTCGATGCGCTTCTGGCGCTCGGCCAGCAGCTGCCGCTTGTGCTCCTCGTTCTCCCGCTGCTGCTGCTCCAGCTGCTGCCTCCGCAGCGCCTCGGACCGCTCCTTGTTGGCCAGCTGCAGCCGCAGGAAGTCCCGCCGCAGGGTCGACTCTCCTGGCAGGTTCAGAATGGAGCTGTGGGCAGGACAGAGAAGTCAGGACCCCACATGGGGCAAGAGCAACTGCTACCTTGGGTCTTGGGGGAGGAGATCAGGGCAATTAAATAGCCCCTCTAAAGGAACCACTTGCTCAAGCACAGGCTCTTAGGTCCTCCATTAAGTATATTACTCACCTCCAAAGGAAACAGAGTCAAAGTCAGAGACTAGTGTCCAGACTCACTTTCAGTTGACTACTGCATACACATGCTGTCCCCTCCTTAGAGGGATGCCACATTCCAGAGGCCACCCTGCTCTCACCCTTGTGACATGGCAAAGATCTCTTTCTAAAGTCTTTAGTGTGTGTGCAAGCCCTGAGCCCCAGACCAGCTTATTTTCACATTTAAGAAAGGCAAGAACAAAGCCAGAAAAGAAAAATTAATCCGGAGCTGAGGGAGCCTACTCTCCTTCGAGAAGCATAGTCCACCCTCACTCACATCACCTCCTTGACTTCTGTACCAAAACACAGGAGACAAAGGGCAGGCTGCTCACGTGAAGATGTGATGAGCCAGGAAGGGACAGTGCGAGGTCCAAGTCGACAGAGCAGGACTTGAACCCAAGTCTGCCAAGTCCGAGGGGTCAGGACTTTTTTTTGTGACCCTCTCCCCCATTAAAGTGAAGTTAAGCCAAAACTGGTTTGGCTCAGTGGATAGAGTGTCGGCCTGCGGACTGAAAGGTCCCGGGTTCGATTCCAGTCAAGGGCATGTACCTTGGTCGGGGGCACATCCCCAGTGGGGGTTGTGCAAGAGGCAGCTGATCAATGATTCTCTCTCATCGATGTTTCTAACTCTCTATCCCTCTCTCTTCCTCTCTGTGAAAAATCAATAAAATATATTTTAAAAAAAAAAGTGAAGTTAAGTGGTTTGGTTCTGGTCATAGAGGGTGCATGCAACTGGAACTTCAACAAGCTCACTGATCCTAGATTCTCTTTAAGAACTGTGAGTCTCAATTCTACCTTACCTGCAAAATGGCCATTAGGCACATGCGTGTACATGTATGTGTTTGCATGTGCATGTGGCAGAGAGAACAAGGAGGGCAGAGGAACACCAAAAGCACTGCTGTCCTACTCATCATCCAACTGCATGTGTATAACTCAAAGTCACAGGCACAACAGCCTAACAGACAGGTAGAAAATGGCTCTTATTTGTTCATACAAACCTAGCCCCTTTAATCTTTCTGGCAGCTCTCACTTGAAATAACTACATTAAATAATTGTTTGAGTGCCTACTACATAGCAGGCTTTAGTGTATACAGTAGGAGGTAACCAAATTCTTTCTCTATAGTTTCCTTCTTGTGGGAAAGACTGAAAAATAATTAGGCAGACAGACCAATAATTACAAATAGCACAATTTCAGGTACTGATTGGCTCTACAGAAGATAAAGTGTAATAGTGTAAAGTGATAGTGGCAAGGGTGCTGGGGTAAAGATTAGGGTTCTGCTTTGGATGGGGTGATCAGGGAAGACCTCTCCAAGAAGTTGAGCTAAGACTCAACTGATAAAGAGTCAGTCTTAAGAAGAGGTAGGGAAGAATCCTTCAGGCAGAAGAAAAAGCAAGTACAGCTGAGCCATGAATAACACGGGGGTTAGGGATGCTCACCACTGCCTTGTGCAGTAGAAAATCTGTGCATAACTTTGGACTCCCCCAAAACTTAGTTATTACTCAATATCCATCAAGGACTGGTTCTAGGAATACCACCCCACCCCCCACAATCCCCTTGCAGATAGATACCCAAATCCAAGGATGGTCTAGACCCGTGTATAAACGGCATATGTCAATGCACAAAGTCAGCCTTATGTATCTGAGTGCATGGGCAGTTCAAAACCATGTTAAGGGTCAGCTATATAGAGGCCTGTGGTGGGGACAGGTGTGGCCTCTTCAAGTAACTGAGCTCCAGCTGGTCTTTCCCAGAGCAGAGGGAACAACAGGGAGCGTGGTAGGAGAGGTCAGAGAGACAGGGAAGTGAGGGCAGAGCCACTCAAGGAAAAGTTAAGCAGGAGAGTAACATGATATGACTTGTTTGGCTGCTGAATGGACGAGAGTCTGCAGGGGTAGGAGGACAAGCCAGGCCACCAGGTGGGCTGCTCCTGAAGTGGCTCTGGGGTGGAGACTTCAGGGCAGGAGTGGCAGCGATGGAAGTTGGGAGAATCATGTGGGACAGAATTCATGAAATCTGTTGGTGGATCTGTGTGGATTGAAGGGTGACTTGCAGGTTTGGCCTTGGCACCTGGGCAATAGTGGTGACAACAACTGAGACGGAGAATGCTGGTGGGAGGAGCCGCTTTGGAGGCAGCTGATAAGGTGATAATTCTGTTCTGGAAATTGGATAGCGTGCTATGTGAGATACTGCCCGAAAATGACATAAAAAGCCTTCGTTTATAACATTGCAAAGACAGTGCTTGGATTCTACTAACAATCCTCCCCTAAAATGTACAGTCTTTGTGTAGAACTCCAAAGCAAACCCCAAATGACAACGCTTATCTTCGCAGGCCACCTGCTCTGTGCAAAAGGGGGGGGGGGAGAGAAGGGGGAGGGGCTTCTCGACCCTCACGTGCACACGAGGACGCTGGATCAATGTCAGGTGACCTGAGCTGTATTACTGACTCCATCATTAACTCGCTGTGTGACCAGGTTGCCACCCTTGGACTGTTTGTTACCTCATTTCTAAAATGAAATAACCACGGTCTCTTTCTACTTTTCAGGATTTCATGAAGATTATTAATTAGATGTGTCCATAAAACTGGACTTGGAACATAGTCTTCGACGTGATCTAATGACATGTTACAATTATAGAAATGTCAAGGCATGGCTAGATTGGCTCACTAAGTGACTGCTAACATGCAGTTTAGCAAGCATTAGTTAAAAAGGGCTTTTTTCAAGATCTCTGCAGAGAGATCAGAGTGACTGACAGGGCCGCCTGGGTGAGCTTTGGAAAACAACGTACAGCTTCTCTGAAAGCAGGGCATTTGGTCCTTAGCTTGACAAGAACGATCATTTGCCATGTCACAACTTGACAGTCATCATCTCAAGGCTGCTAAGCCAGGGGTGGCCAGGATGTTAAGTATTAGCTGGAGGGAAAGAATCATCTCTCAGTCTTTGACCTTGAGAAGTCCTGAAACAGAAAAACCGGGTGGCCCAGCAAGCTCAGTCCCGCCTGCCTTGTGCCTGGTATTTTGGCAACAATCCAGCTTGGTAGGTCTGAGTTAGCTCCAGAAAGGAACCCACAGCCCATCCTAGCAGTGAATGAGCAAGCCCCTTCCTTGGTCAAGAAGCTCCGCCTCCACAGTATGGGAACTGCTCCTTTTTTAGGAGCACTGGGTTTCCCTCCTGGGGTGGCTGATGAATGAAGACCCATATATCCCAGGGATGTTTCTACTTGTGCATTTTCCCCAGTTAATCTCACTTCACCCGAACTGCGTGCCCACTGTGATGTGTGTGACTGTGTCCTAAGCTCTCTGAACTGCCGCCAGCTGAATTCTCTCACGAAAGAGAGATCCTGGCAGTGTGAGCACACTGGCATTAATTATTTATAAACACAGACTGGAAGAAAGTTGGAATCAAAGTCAAGTGAAATTCAAAAGGTAGAGATGATAATAATTAAGCAGCACTTGATTCTGGGGTCTGACAACATGACAACAGGAGTGGGCATGAAAGTCTCTATTTAGGGTTCAGTGCTAGAGTATAATTTGATTTTCTGGAAATGGTTTCCTCTTGAATTAGGCTGTGGGGTGAAAATACCGAGGCCTGTGACAAGAACAGTGGCTGCCCAAATGGCCTTCTCAAAGGTATGAATTGAATGACTCATGTCCAAAAATACCACGTAGGTCTCCAGAAAGATGTAGTTTTAGGTGGTTTTAGTCCTGTATCACTCAGATGATCGCCTGCTGCCCATTCTACACATTACAGATGTGAAGAAACAAGGCCTTAGAATAGAGACCATCACCGAAACTGGTTTGGCTCACTGGATAAAGCGTTGGCTTTCGGACTGAAAGATCCTTGGTTCGATTCTGGTCAAGGGCATGTACCTTGGTTGCGGGCACATCCCTGGTTGGGGTTGTGCAGGAGGCAGCTGATCGATGCTTCTCTCTCATCGATGTTTCTAACTCTCTATCCCTCTCCTTTCCTCTCTGTAAAAAAATCAATAAAAAAAATATTTTTAAAAAAAGAACAGAGACCAAAATTTGGGGAACAAGGTAAAGAATATGCTGATTTCCACATTTTCATGAGTCTGCCTAGGGAAAATTTCCCAAATGAACAAGCATGTTTGTAGGCAATAAATTAAATAAGACCATCATGCTGGGACTCTTAAAAAAAAAAAAAAAAAAAAGAACCTATAAATCAATAGGAAGTGAATCACAAGCACAATTCAGAAGGTGGAAATGAGAAGATGTGGCTCTTGCGCTCCTACCTGGGCTCTCCCGAGTCATTCTCCTCCTCTTCTTCCTCACTTCCGCTGTACTCGTATTCGGTCTCATCTAAAGAGAGACTCACAGGTTAGTGCATAACAAGGAAACTACAGCCCTGTGAAGTCCAATCCTTCATTTCATATATCAATAAACCGAGGTCCAAAGAGTTGTTATTAATGCTGAGCAGAGACAGGCACCCTGAGTTGGGCTCCGAAAGTTCCCATTAGCTGCATCCAAGTACATGGAATTAATCATACCCAAGCCTGTCCCGCCTGACTCAAGATCTCTGTTTCCAATGCCCAGTGCTCATACAAAGGTGAAGACAAGGAACTGAAAAATCACCTTTCAGTTTGTGTTGACTCACAATGTAGAACCAGCTAAATGAATCTTTCATTGGTCCAGTTAACTTATTGCGAGATTTAATAATTTTTCAAGTAGGAGTTTTAATAGGACTTATATGGACTCACAAATTGCCTTTAGATATCATGACAAATATCAGAAAGAAACTTTTGACAGTATGTGATACTAAAAATATGGTTAAATGTGTTTTGATTGACCCTCTGGGGACATCAATTTAATTCAATAATATGTTAAGCAAGTTAACATGCAATAATGATTAAGACTGAGTCTTTGCTTTGCAGGAGATCAAAATTTAATGGGCAAGATGGATAAATAAGTAATCAGAGCCCCTGATTACTTATTATAAAGAAAGGGAACTAACCTTTGTTGGGTATCTCCCATGCCAGTCACCATACTTAACACTTTACCGATGTTCTCCTATTTATTTCTCATAATAATCCTTTAACATAATACCCACGTTTCAAGTGAAGACACTGAGATTATAAGAGGATAAGAAATATGACCAATGTCATCTAATTAATAAATCTGGAACTTGGATTTAGAATTCAATACAAACTTTTCCCAATTTTAAAACTAGTGTTCTTTCCAACATATTATATGCTAAATAGAAGTACACAAAAATAGCAATACGATATCAGAGAAAGAATCAGCCGAGTTCACTGGTCATGATGGGGAAGGGGACATGAAATCTTTGAGGAGGAAATAGGTGGGCCTTGGAAGGTCAGTGGCTCTCTTCCAGGCAGATGGTAGTGGAAAGTGGTGAAAAAGGGCATTCTAAGCAACATAACCAACTGACTGTGGCTGACAGTGTTATAGTGCACAGCGTATTCAGAAAACAATGACATGAGTGGTGAGATGTCTGGGTGTGAAAAAAGCAGATGGAGTGAGAAAGGCCAGCAGGTCTGATATATATATATATATATATATATATATATATATATATATATATATATATATATATATATATATATATGGCTTGCTGTTCCTTATATAAACCATGCATGTAGCTTTTGATTTTAAGCAAGAAAGAGTAGTGTCGTATTACTGTTATCCTTTCATAGCTGTGGGTTAGTAATTATCACTTGGAAAATATTTGTGTACCCCTAAAGGAACTAAAAATGCAATTTGGTTATGTTACCACCAGGGGCATGCTGAGGACTATAGCACCCTATATAATAAAAGGGTAATATGCAAATTGTCCCTAAGGGCAGAGTGACTGGTTGCTAGGACGTGCACTGACCACCAGGGGGCAAACGCTCAATGTAGGAACTGCCCCCTGGTGGTCAGTGTGCTTCTACAGGGGGAGGGCTACTCAGAGAGAAGCTGGCTCATGGCTGGCCAGAGCAATGGCCATGGCGGGCCTAAGCCATAAATTGGACATTCCCTAAGGGCTCCCAGGCTGAGAAGACCACCCTTCCCCCCACTGCTTTCCATACCATTTAGCCATTAAAGGGATAATTAAATGAAGCTGAAAATGAGATAACTTCAAGCATATTTTCTAAAATCACAAGTTAGCTTCATATATTTAGGCTACTTACATAGAGAACCTTCATAAAGTGTCTCAATATTCCACATTAAAAGTTTAATATTTCCAACTTTCAATAAACAGAGTTCAAAGTAAAATGCAGAAAATTTATCTATTAAAGGTAATTATAGCAAGGGAAAAAGGCACCCAATTAATCCAATTATTTGTACTCTCTAGGGTAAAACCTTAATTTATCAGGCTTGTTAACTGTAATACTTCTTCAGAATGTGGTTTGATTGCTTTTATAACACTGGCTTAAATCAGCATGCATCAATCTATTAAAAAAATAATATCAGGCAAAAATATCATAAAGCAATGAACATTAAAATTATTTGATTCACCCGCCTGGAGAGGCTCAATTAATTGAGCATCATTCTGTGCACCAAAAGATTGCCAGTTCAATTCTCAGTCAGGGCACATGCCTGGGTTGTGAGTTTGATCACTGGTTGGAGCACGTAGAGAAGGCAACCTATTGATGTTTCTCTCTCACATAAATGTTTCTCTCTCGCTCTCTCTCTCTAATAATAATAATAAATAAAATAAAAATTTATTAGATTCTATGGTTGTTACCAAAGGGGAAGGGGAGTCAAGGAAGGTAGAAGAGGGTAAAGGGGTCAAATATATGATAATAGAAGGAGAGTTAAGTATACCTACTATCAGAACTCCTCTCTTCTATTTTGCAAAGAAGGAACACATTCAACATAGTCTGTTTTCATGGGGTAGAGAGTTCTGACTCACATTCTAGTTTATATCAACAAAATGTGAAGACAACCTAAGGCACACACTTTATTCATCCTTACAGGTCAGAGGCAGAGAGTTCGCAGAAAGTAATCCTGGATGGTACTGAAAAGTTATAGGTCAACAAAGAATCATTTAAATAAGAATAGCCAATATTTATCGAATATGTCTATGTGCCAGGCATTGTATGAAGCGATTTACATGTACTATCACAGTTAATCTTTGCAACAATGCCAGACAACACTAATCATTATAATAAATCCAGTTCTATTTTAAAGATTAGAAAATTGGGGGAAGATCACGTAACTATGAAAGAGTAGACTAGAATCTGAACTTAAAATTTGAGTCTGAAAACAAAATTCTGACTACTTAACCTACTTTATGTATCCACAGTAAAAGAAACTTCCTTTTGTAGAGAAAGTGCCTTGAATGGTTGCATGTCTCACTCACCACCCTAAATTACTTCCTTTAAAATTATGACTTCACAGAGTGGTCCAAGACTACTATTAATAAGTAAAGAGTTGAAAAAAAAAAATCAGTCCTTTTTGACTATCACTTAACTATTTCTTTTCATGCCTAGTTCCTCCAGCTTGGGCTGCCCCATCCCCAGCACCTTAGTTCTAATTGACATCTTGTCCTTCTCTATCACAAACATCTGGAGGTGGACCTCTCTTTTGGCTAAGCCTTCTAACCTCCTGCTCCTGAACCTAACCTGATCACATATTTTCCTGAGTCTCCAGATGGACAACAAAGGAGGATCTCTTCTCTTGAACCTTCACGAGGATTTCTCCTCCTCTCCAAGCCCTCTGGTGATCTGACCTCTGCCTAATCTTGATTCCTGCACTGCTCAGTACCTCACCCCCTAGGTTCCTGATCATACCTTGCCACATTAGATATTAACTTCAGAGGCAAAGAAGAAGGAAGACCAAATAAAAAGAGAGCAACCCTGTCCTAGGCTGCCCATCACCTTCCACTACTCCTTCTGGATTGTGCAGAACAAAGGAGAGAGGTGGAGAGGATTGAGGCAAGGAAAAGCATATCACCAAGTTCCTCCCATCCCCATCCCTGGCCTTCCTCTCTATTCTCCACTCCCTGCACACTCAATGCTCACCTTGCGAGCTCTAAATGGCCTCCTTACTGTGACTTCAGTGCCAGCTTCCCCCTCCTTTTCCCACTGTCTATCCTCTTTCATTCCCTATCTCAACCTTCCCTACCTCCCAGCCCAAGAAGACATAAAACCTGCCCCAGACCAAATGCATGGTTACATTGGTCAGGATATTAATTAAGGAATTTTTGAGTCTCTATTCAAACAGTCCTAGGACCTCAAGTTTGGATTGATGTCCTTTCCAATAATGTAGTGAAAAAACAGTGTGGTATAACAGCCAGAGCCATGAGAGATACGTTTTTGAATCTATAAATTAAGAAATGCATTAAATGATCTTCCAGATTCAAAAGAAAAAAAAAGGCCTGGCAATCTCATTTATAACACTGAGATGATAAGAACATTCATTCTGACTTCCAAATAACTAAATTAGAAATGAGCCTCAGTGCACAAATTCTTTAAATGTTGAAGACTGCCAGTACCGAGAAATGTCAACTAGATTTTTTAGGTTGTCTGTCTTCGGTAGATCTTCAGTCTTCAAAACATGAATATTCATTTGAATGAAGAAAACCACTTGTCGTATTAAACCACTTCATAGTATCACTCAACATGACTCTTTGTTCAGTGCCTGGAAAAGGTGATATTTCTCTCGGTTCTATTCTCTCATGAAAGATTCCATTCAGCAGTCTCACTCCATTGATGCCCACAGGCTGTGATCTCAGAGGCAGCCCCTCACAAGAAAGAATAATGCAGGCCCGTTAGAAACCCTCCCAAGTCACCTCCAAATACATCAAGAGCTCGGGACCCACTCCATCTTTTGTTTCCCTGGCTGGAATACAAATGTGCCTCTAACCTTTCTCGCCTCGCTTCTTCTTTGTTCTATCGATATGGTCCTTGAGTTGAATGCGAACCTGTCGTTCATTAGGTTGGTCTCGTATAAACGGGTGCTTCATCAGTTGCTCTGTTGCTGGTCGCTGGCTATGATTCTTCACCAAGCAGCTCTCAATAAATGACTGGAATTTCTTTGACCTGTCAGACAAAAGAGACGAACCACAGGTTAAAAAGACAATCCGAAGAAAGGCAGACATATTTTTTGAAACGCTAGAATAAAAAAAATTAGAAAAAGGAAAATAGGTCCAATCAGCCAATGTAGAGATCGACCCATCCCAAAGTGGGTCTAGCCCTTTATTAGGTACAATAGGGTAAAAAGGCGTCATCACCATCAACACACAATTCATGGCTTTTATGGTAGTGATTATACGTGAAAGTATTTTTTTTTTTCACAATTCATACATAATATCTCACAGGAAACCAAAAGGAAATCAGAGAAAGAAAGAGCCCATTGGGAATCAGACTTGGAAATTCTATGGGAATGAGAGAACCACTGCTGGGTCTTAAAGAATCAGGAAGAAATCACTCTGGGGAAAGGACAGTTCAGGGAGGTTATAAAATCAGTGAAAAACTCCAGTTGGGAGTGAGCACACTGTATGTCAGGGGACACTGAAGTGAGATATCTAAATGAGACAGAAAATGCAATATGAAAAAAGTAAAACCAAGGTTGGATAGAGGAGTCCATTTTGTGAAAATGAACAAGATTCTTCTATGGGAGAGTGAACTTGACCTGGCAAAAAATTTTTAAAAAAAAAATATTTTATTGATTTTTTACAGAGAGGAAGGGAGAGAGATAGAAAGCTAGAAATGTCAATGAGAGAGAAACATCAACCAGCTGCCTCTTGCACACCCCCTACCGGGGATGTGCCCGCAACCAACGTACATACCCCTGACTGGAATCGAACCCGGGACCTTTCAGTCCGCAGACTGATGCTCTACCACTGAGCCAAACCGGTTTCAGCTGACCTGGCAAAATTTTTAACTGGTAATTTCAGAGTCACTTTTGAACTCTGCTTTCCAATTAACTAAATCAGGATGTATGCATATGCTTGTTATCAACCCACGGACTTAGAAATTTAGCTTTAAGGGACTAAGTTCATATCTGGAAGGCAATATTTCCTCCTTTGCCACAGGGGCAGGGGAGCGCTGGTGAGAGATACCACACCAATGATTAGGGCAGCAGGTCGAAATTAATGGACTTTAGCTATGATTCACGAATGGAGCATGCATGTTCCTGCTGAAAGTTCCAGCATGATAAATAAAATTAAGCTCATGACTCTATAGCGGACTTGTCCAAGGTGTTCCATTGCTAATATGGCACTTTACCTTCAGAGACCTCTGCAGAACCCTAGTCACCCTAGTCACCCTACTCACTATCCCTACCCTGCTCAGAGCTGGAGGGAACCAATTTTGCGCTCTCTGTCGCCCTCTTGTGAAGCACTGTGGTCTTACAGGAGCGCATTCCAGGAGCCAGCCTTTCCCAAGTTTCCCAGCAGGCCCTCAGTGTGTGTATGTGTGTGGTGTGTATTTACTTAAGGCCTTGACACCACACAGCACATAATGGTGAGCGTGCTCTTCAAGATTCAAATGTGAGAGGACATTCACATGTGCACCACTTTAGTCCTGCCCAGGTCAAAGCAGTTTCTCACCTTTTCCCACGTTTTTAAAGTACTGAGTTTTTTATATTTTTCCTTTCTAAATTTCTAAACTATGCCCAAGCTTTTAAAAACATATTATAAAAGTAAAGGTAACCTGCTATGCTTGGGGTCAACTCGAGATGAATCAGGATTGGACTGTAAATCATGTAACAGGATGGACATTCTATGCACCCTGTATGTCCTACAGCCATTACCTGCTTCCTCCACACTGGAAATCCTGTGTTTGGATGTGCTTGAGTCATATTTGTATCATGAGCACACTACCTGCTCTGATATCTTTGATGAACAAATGTTGCCTGAATGGTTATTGGACAAGAGCTGTCCTAGGGCTACCTTCAAATCATGAGGGACAGAAAGGGGGGCTTGGAGAGTAGATATTGTTTTATTATGTTGTTTTTCTCAGATCTATCAGGTAAATCTGTGGAGGCACAAATGTGATTATCACCTAAGGAGAGACCTTGTAAAAAAAACAACAACAAAAAACACACACCCCATAATGAATTAATGGACTCTCCTAAGGAATCAACTTAGGAGAATGAGGTTAACCTGCAGAAAGAAATAAACAAACTCCACACGGTGCTTTTCTAGGTAGAAAATCAATATTAGGAAGATGTAAACAAAACAGACAGGAAGCTATTAAACATGCACAAAGAATGCAAATGGCAGCTCTCTTTTTCCTGCTTCTAACTAGAAGGAAGTGCTCATTTTTCACAAAGTGGTCAGCTATTAATTAGAGGATGATAAATAAAAGAAATCACACCCAATTTAAAAAGGAGCTATCCAGACTTAATAGACTGTCCATGCCATTCCCCAGTACTGACACCTCACAAACTCAGAGAAACCTCCAGGATGAGAATGTTGAAGATGTTCAATGGAACCAGTCCATCTCAGAGTCACTTCTCCAGACTCTCTCCCAGAAGGAAAGAACCTCAAAAGATATTCAAGAGGACAACTTTAGGTCCAAGGGGTGGACCTGGACACAGAACCACAAAGCTGGCAATGTGTCCCACACCTTCTTCAAACGGCACTGTGTTTGAAGAGAACATAATGCTGACTTACAAGTCTTCAAAGAAAGCTTCATCATCTCTTTTTTGAGTGGGTGTGACCAAAGAATCAATATACTTAATTACACATTTAATTAAAACGAAAAACACCACCTATGTTGAACACTACCTGGCTATTTGCTGAGCAGTCTTACGGGTTTAAAGTACATTTATATAACTTTATTGTTAGAATCTCTGCTGCCAGTAATTTAGTTCTGTCTTCTTCTTCTTCTTTTTTTAATGCCTAAGATTAGTAACACTAATTTCACCAGGGTTGGCATGGAGAGATAAATGTTAATGATGGGTGCTTGTAGTCTGAGACACTAGTTCTTATAATACCAGTGTCGCTGAACACTTTATCCTACCAGATTTTTCCTGCTTACATATTAAATTGTGCTAAAGGAATTAAAAATGCCTGAAAGATTGTTATGTTAATCATTATAACCAGACAGGCTAAAAGTTGTTGGTAATCATAGGACTGACTCCCTACATGCAATTTGACCTTTAAAATGTGTATTTCCCAGAACTATCCATCCCCCCCCCCCTCCCTTAGGTTCTATCACTTACTATGTGATTTTGGGCAAATTATACAACTTCTCTGTGCTTCAGTTTCCCTGCCTGCAAAGAGGGAGATTAAGTACTTTTCTCAAAAGACTGCTGTGATAACTAAATGAGTTAATTTGTACCAAATACTTAAAATAGTGCCCATTACATGTAAGTACATGTACCAACACACATAAACGCTGTAGATATGTTTGCCAATATTTCTGACATATGGTGTGTAGCTGCTCAAAGAAAACCCACTTGTCGGCTGTGGGAAGCTGGACACGGCTGTCCAGGGGCAGGACAGGGAGAGAAGAGGGAACAGGGTGAGTGGACCCCACTGTGTACAGCAGGCTATGTGTGAATGCCAAGCAGAAACCTGGCAGAAGGCTCCGTAGAGCCACTGCCGCTTCCAGGGGACAGAACTGCGTTGCCTCCCCCCCCCCCCCCCCCCCGGAGTCTGTCTGTTCCAGGGAGAAAGGAGGAAGCAGGGCCTGAGCACCGGGTGATCACAGGCTGTGCCGGTGCCCAATGGGAGGCTGTTGCTGGGGAGAGAATGGTCTCACATCACAGTGACCCTTGGAGAGAGAAGCAGGAGCGGAGGATGCTGGTTACCAATAGCAACTCTCCCTCTCTCTTCCTGCAGCCTTGGCAACTCCAGGGCTGCCGGCCCTTCTGGCAGTCTCCTTCCTTTCCTCGGTGCAGTGTGCCCGTCTCTGCTCCCCCCGGGTGGCTGTGCCATTTTTGAGTGACTGATATTGATCAAGACTGCTCTCTGAATAGTGGAGGGTGAAACTGCGAGTGGGTGAGAAACAGGAGGGGCTCCAGGCAAGGGCCTGATCATGAAGTGGCATGAGAGGAGGGCAGAGAGTCTGTCCCTCATGCTCTGAAAAAGGACAGGAGGGCATAGATGGTCAGGAATTGACACCTGTGCAAGGGGAATCAGAGGTTTAAGGATACACAACAGGGAGGATACCACAGCCACAGGGCTAACGGAGGGAGTGATGCATTTTTGTTACAGGCTAATAAAGCACAAAGACCCTCATATAAGCACATGTCGGAAGTCCAACCTATTTATGAAACTCTGTTTCTCAAACTTTACTACTAATAATTCGCACTATACCTTTACACCCCCATACCAGAATTCACTTAGTATTTTACTTTAAGTCACTTCTTTTATGTGAATAAGTTTATTAAACAGCAAGGTTATACCACTACCCAAAATAAGAAGCTGGTATCACCTGTCATAAGAGAAAGCAATAGAAAAACCCAAAATTATAAATGTTCTTGGACAGACCTATGAAATCATCTCATATACCACCAGGTGTGTGTATGCACTTATAGAATTATTGTCTTAAAATGTAGAAGAACAGTAAGCCAATCTAACAGGCAGACTCTCTGAACTATCACCCTATCTGGATTGTGCTTCCAGAAGAGATATTACTTGGGTTTGACTACCCATTTATATTTATATATATATATATATATATATGTGTATATATATATATATATATATATATATATATATATGTATACACACACACACACACACACACATATATATATATACACACACACACACACACACACACATATATATATACTTAATTTTAATTTTTAAGTATATTTTTATTGATTTCAAAGAGGAAGAGAGAGGGAGAGAGAGACAGAAACATCAATGATGAGAAAGAATCATTGATGGGCTGCCTTCTGCATGTCCCATATTGGGGATCAAACCCATAACCTGGGTATGTCTCTGACCTGGAATCGAACTGTGACCTCCAGGTTCATAGGTCGATGCTCAACCACTGAGCCAGGATGGCTGGGCTTAACTACCCATTTTAGCTAAGAGCTCTTTTACCTGAAAGGTGTGGGGATAAAGACCTGCTGTGCAAATCAATAGTACCCCCTTTCCCACGGAGATGCATTCTGAAACCCCCAGCAGCTGCCTGAAACTATGGTTAGTACAGAACACTATATATACTATGTTCTTAATTATACATGCATACATACATACACACATACATACATACCTATGATAAAGTTTAACTTATAAATTAGGTACAGTAAGAGATTAATAACAATAACTAAAAATGAAACAGAACAATTACAATAATAACTGCAATGGAAGTTATGTGACTGTGTGTCTCTTTCTTTTTAAATATTTTATTGTAACACAGTCACTTTTCTTCCTGTGATGATGTCAGACGACCCGATGCCTTCGCGATGAGATGAAGTGGGGTGAGTGATTAGGCATTGTGATGCAGCGTTAGACTATGGAGGATAACCTGCTCCGGGTGATCATGGATCATGGAGTCGTGATGATGCCCATGGATGGGAAAATAAAATATTTTTGGACAGCATTTGACTGCAGGTAACTGAAATCTCAGAAAGTAAATCCATAGATAAGGGGGAGATCTCAATAGGTATTTTAAGATGAATGATCCATATGTAAAATAATCACTCACCAAGTGTTAGTGTGTATAGTCTAATCCTGTCAGCAGGACCTAAGTATCTGAGTTAACCCCCCAAAACCATTATCACAGGAAAGCCCTGCCCTTGGATCTGTAAAACATGGAAGAACAAACTCACCATTTCTTAGACTTCAGCCTCGGTGCAGGGTTCCGGGGGATGAGGAAGAGGGCTCGCATCGGGTGCATGTCACAAAGAGCTGCAAGAGACCAAATGAGGGCCAGCTCCAGCCAGGAGGCCACACGCAGGCCAAGCTCACCCTGGCTGTGCAGCCAGTGTCCCCACACGGCTCCCGAGTGCTCGCATGACCAGTGAGCAGAGGGGAGAGATCACAAAGCCTCTATATGGTGAGCGCCTAGCAGAGCCGTTGGCCAGCTACAAGCCTCATAAAACACAACACGTTTCAGCTAGAGAGTAACGTTTCTACTGTGCCTTTATATTTAAGAGTACGAAGTTAGAGGGTCCACAGTCTTCCCTTTACTGTAAATAACCATCTAAGATTCAAAGTAAACAGCATCAAGGGAAATGAAGTTATTTAATGATTAAAATCTTAAGTGTCAAAACAGGATTTTTTGATCATCCATGGTCTTTTTATACACCAAGGGCTCATCCAAATACAATGTTATCTACCTAGATTTTTGGAATATAAAACACTAGACCAGACACCTTTCCCTCTGTATTTCCAAATATCCTGAATGGCTTTTCGTGGGTTTATGATGGTTTTTATGTTTCATTTCATTCCCTGGCTCCAGGAAGCCCACAGGATTAAGGCAAACGCAGTCTGGCAGGAAAATTATAAAAATATCTCAACTTGTAAACATGACATTATCGTTTACAGTGAAAGCACTCAAACATTCTTATTTTAAGCACAATATTTCACTAGTTTACTTTTCAAACAGCTGGGAGTATCTTTTCCTTTGTGCCTAGAATAAGAATATATTCTCCCCCAAAGCTAAAGAATTCTGAGGGTTGAAGCTTATTTTTAGCCCCTTCAACTACTTATCAAGAGTGACAGTATGGTTTTGAGACTGTAATATATTGTTTTTTATGATTCATAAATGCCTTTTAACATAGTGGATGAGGGGAAGTTGTCAACAAAGACTCCAAATCAATCAAGCTTCAGATAATTCTATCAACTCTAGGGTGATGACTTGACGGTAAAAAGAACCACATGCACATAACAACCTGTCATGCAATTAGGAGCCTCTGAGAAGCAGCCACCAAGGAGTTATTAGATGTGAGAGGGGGCAATTTCTGCCTCAAAGGAAGTAGGGAGGGAGCCGGGGAAGGCTGAGGAAGTCATCAGATTGTTGTGCAAATCTGATTGGCTGAAGGTGAGAGGGAGAAAAGTAGGCAGAAGAGTGCTACAGTGTAAGGAAACTAAGGAATAAAAATAGGAGTGAAAGTTGCCTACAAAGGGTCTGCCCTAGATCCCTGCCATGCTCGTCACTGATGGGGAGTGGCCCTTGGAAGGCATAAGCCTCAGTGCGAGGCAGCAGCGAAGCCTGTGGTCAGTTGTGCCTGCTGCACGGGAATCTGTGAGGAATTGCTCATGGCCTGGCAGAGGCTCTCTGCAGTGCCATATTCCAGATCTCAAGGAATATTCCAAATCCTGGCCACACTGCCTGAAATAAGTAGGGAAAGCTAAAAATCTAACCATCAGCATTTTAATAGGAGTGAAAGCAGTCAGGTATCAGTGTTTGTGGAACACATTCACTGGAAATCAGCATTGACAGTTTGTGAGAGTTTACAGTTTTTGTGGGTTGGTCCCAGTTTTGTGGTTAAGTGAAGAATAGTTCAAAAATCAACTACACCGAATCTGTAAAACAAATAAATTTCCCCAAAGTTTGCCTCCCCTTTCTTTTTCCTTTTCCCTCATAAATTCAAGATCCTCACACCACTCGGAAATGAATGGACTTCTGGTTGATTTAAGATGACTGCTTTCTAAATATGCCAGCGAGAATCCATGCTGGGCTCAGTGTAGCAGAAGTAAAGCTACCTCGGCTCCTGGCACAGAAGCTTCAGTACCTGCAGAGCGGACAGCAACCGATTTCACCTGGAGGAAGATACTTACGGGGAGCACCTTCTGCCATCTCGATAGCGGTGATTCCCAGAGACCACAAGTCACTCTGGAAGAGAAGGAAGCACGGACATAAGCATGAATGCAGTTGCCAAAGGAGAACTTGGTTACATCTGGTAATTGCTTCAGAACTGCCCGTGGGGAAACCGTTCAGTCATCTCTTGACAAACCTATTACAGCTGCGAAGCTTCAAAGTAGTCAGAGCCTCGTTCACTTTCATCGACAATTCCTTTCATGGTTTTAAAAATTAATTTGTCATTACTTGGGGTGGTGGAGCCATACTACAATATACAGATGATGTAGAGAGAATGGTACACTTGAAACCTATATAATTTTATTAACCAATGTCACCCCAATAAATTCAATAAAAATTAATTTAGCACTCAATTGTATCTCTGGCTTACATCACATGAAATCACTGCTATTCGACTGCTTTCTACACTGTCATAGAATTAACTGCACATGTTTAAAGTGTATCATTTGTAAGGTTTGACATATGTATACTCCTGTGAAACCATCACTATAATCAAGAGGAGCAGGAATCAAGTGGTTTTGTACTGTGAAATGGAAGGTGGCTATTTGGAGGGTTTCCATTCTAAGCTATCTATATATAAAAGGCTAATATGCAAAGTATTCCCCCAGGAGTTTGACTGGGAGACCAGGATTTTGATTGCTCACTATGACGGGTACTGGCCACCAGGGGGCGGCACAGAATGAAGGAAGGCCACAGCTGGCAGCTGGAAGGCCCTGATCGGCCCTGATGGTTGGCCAGGCCTAGGGACCCTACTTGTGTATGAATTTCATGCACTGGGCCTCTAGTTACAAATAAAGCTGCTACATCCATCACAAGTCTTTGTATGAACATACACTTTTTTTTTTTTTTTTAAAAAGAAAACACTCACATGTGGAATGGTATATATTCATACTATGTAGTCCAAAATCTGTCACACAGTGGCCTCCAGAATATTAATTTCCTTCTCCTCTACTATTAGGTGAGACTGCCTATGCCTGTTCAATTTAATCTTCTCTAATTTCCCTCTATTTGGTTGTAGCAGATACTGTTTGTTGGCTAACCCAACAGACATTTTCAACCCCCATTTCCTTTGCGACCTTCATTTATGAGTGTAGGAAATCTAAGTGTGTCTGTCCAGACTTCCCTACAGTTAAGGATGACAATTAAGAATGTGACATAGCTGTGGCCAATGAGACACAGGCAAACATCTTCTGGGAGCTTCTGAGAAAGCTTTTGCTTTTCCTGAAATAAGTGACAAATACAGTCAATGTCTTGACAATTCTTCCCTACTTCTTCGTGCCTTGAAGAAAAGCATGCTCTTCTTGCAAACATGTGGTAGTAAGTCAACAAACAAAGCACAGAAAGGTAGCAGCCTGGGTTCTAAAGACATCAATGAGGCCCCACACCAACTCTGAACTGCCTGCCTTAAAAATTCTGAAATGTAAGTAAGTACAGCCCAAAGCATTCCTTACTGATAATATGCACATGGTAATGATTTGAAGAAGCACATTTTGACTGTAGGGAAATGGAAAGAGGGCCCAGTTGTTAGGTGAGCTTGGATTTATCCCATGGGAAGCAGAAAGGGTCCATGAAAAGAGATGCTGCCTTTATTCAGTTCACAACATCTCAGATCCCCTCTAAGGTGGCTTTCCCCAAGCCCCCAAACAACTCCTTCAAACCAAAGGCCATACCATCCCAACTCCAGAGCATCCTGTGTCACATGACCAGGCCAGACACAGCTTCTTCCTTAAGCCCTTATTTGATGGCATCATTAGGATCTTCCCCCCTCCCCCCCTGGGGTTCTCTTGTTTTACAAAAAGAACATTTATATTCCTTGTCATATATATATATATATATATATATATATATATATATATGTGTGTGTGTGTGTGTGTGTGTGTGTGTGTGTGTGTGTATCCAGAGCTGCTTGTAAGCTATGCTTAACTGCCCATGCTAGAGAGCAATAAATGAATAAATGTCCTTCATGGGCCTTGTTCAAGCCTTTGGGTGCATTAGCAAGTCCCCAAGACACTTCAGAACTTAAATACTCCAATTACAACTGGCAAGACAGATCACAGGAGACGAGAAAGGGAAGAGGGAGGAACAAGATGAGGAGAAATCTGAGAGAGATAAGTTTCCTTCATGGCCATGGTGTGACTCATTTTGGCAGGAGCTCGGTAATTCATTATTTCAGAGGTACAGTGCCGCCTGCTCTGTGGCATGATTAATAGCCCAGTCTTGTGAGCATTACAAACAAAACAGAGACAAATTCTAGTGCCTCTGAGGAGGCGGAGGCAAGCACAATACTTCCGGCGGGTGGGGGGCCATCTGGCATGCAGGCAACTGGAGCACGAGATAGCAGGCCTTGGGGGTTGGGCTGCCCAACATGTGTAGAAAAGAATACTTTCAGATGGCCGAACCAAGCACACCAAAAAGAGGCAATGTGGCACAGGCAAAGAGCCCAGCATGCCCTGAGAAGCAGAGAGAGCCCACGCTGGACAGCCTAGATTGGTGACTTGGGCAAGCCACCACTTAATTCCTCTGTGCCCATTTCCACACTAGTAATGTGAAGAGAACACTAACACAATGCTGTGCACATAGTGGGTAATTAAAAAATACTGGTGCAGACAGACCCTGAGGACTAGTTATCTGTGACTGGCAGTTCAATCAAAACACCTGAGTTAGGCAAAATGGCAATGGTGCTGGCTGGGCACACTATACATCTCTTACTTTAGTGATCTAAAGAAAAGCAAGGCCAGACTGGCCAGCATGGCTCAGTGGTTGAACACTGATCCATGAACCAGGAGGTCATAGTTCAATTCCCTGTCAGAACACATGCTCAGGTTGTGGGCTTGATCCCCAGTGTGGGACATTTAAGAGGCAGCCAAGCAACAATTCTTTCTCATTATTGATATTATCTCTTTCCCTTTCCCTTCCTCTCTCCGAAATCAATAAAAATATATAAAAAAATAAACAAATAAAAGCAAGGCCAGTTTGTGTGCATATGAGGGGTACAGGAGAGAAAGATCTATACTAATAATAGACGAATATGCAAATCGTCCAGGATGCTGTCACAGTAATGACCAAACAGCAGGCTGGCAGGGTGGTTAGTGAGGGAAGCCCAAATGACTGAATAGCAGGCTTCATGGGGCAACCAGGCTGGCAGGGGACCAGTTGTGGGTGACCAAGCCAGCAGGGGGGGGGCAGTTGGGGGTGACCAGGCTGGCAGAGGCAGTTAGGGGTGATCAGGCAGGTAGGCAGGTGAGCAGTTAGGAGCCAGTGGCCCTGGGATGTCCAACTGCCAGTTTAGGCCTGATCCCAGATTGTAGAGGGTGCAGGCTGGGCTGAGGAACCCCCCGCCTCCATGCATGAATTTCGTGCACTAGGCCTTTAGTATAAAAAAAATATTTTAAGTTCTCCACCTACAAGTCATAGAGCAATGGACTGGAGAAAAATAAGACGCCATTATGTGTACTATACTATGAGTTGCCCTTTGCACTGAACATGCTATCTTGAGATCTGCCCAGCTTCAATATGGACACTGCCTTTTTGCTTAAATGGTTCCATCGTATTCCACTGGATAGATGTGCTAGTCTATTCAACCAGTTCCCTTCTAATGGGCTTTTGGCTGCCGAGAAGTTTCTTTAGTGAGTGGTTGTGTTAAAGCAGTAAGTATACGGCTATAAATTACTTGACAAATCCCATCCAACCCAATGAAATTCAAATTGAAAAAGTAACAATTTAAACAGCCTAGGATTTTTGCAGTTTTATTAATTTCAAATCTCTTGAATGCTTATTATGAAATGAGAAAGCTTTCATTATTGCCCCACACACTTATCAGGGAAATGAAACCTTTCCTTTTGCTTGAAGTGTTTTGACAGAATTTCTGAAAACAAGAAAGGAGGGCCTCTGGGGGAAAGTGAGCACACCAGGCAATGAGATTCTGGTGCTCCTCCTCCGAGAGGGGCTATTTTCAGGCAGTACTTACTGAGCCCGGGAGAAATCAGACAAAACCAGGCTGCCATAAAAAGCATGAGCCCTTTAAACTACTTTCCTACATAGGCCCATATTTTAATGAATTATTGTAGGTTTTTAGAAAAAATGATAGCAGTCTTTAAAGATATCTTAGACAAATCAAAGAATCCTATATAATTAAAGCCTTATATGCAAATCGACCTAACGGAGAAACTACCAGTGGAACCACGGGTCGCTATGATGCACACTGACCACTAGGGGGCAGATGCTCAATGCAGGAGCTGCCCCCAGCCTGCAGGCCCCAGACCAGCATGGGGGGCCCTCCTGATTGCCCCACCGGTCACCCCACAAATGAGCCCTGATCACTGGCCAGGCCTAGGGACCCTAGTACATAATTTCATGCACCAGGCCTCTAGTACATATTAATAAACCATAAAATATTATAAGTCAAATAATAATAAAACCAAACTACACTCTTCTCTTTTGCATTCTACCTTTATTTTTGTAAATTTGTCTTTATTGTTTAAAGTATTACAGATTTCCTGCTTTTTCCCCCATTGATGCCCTCTACCGAGCACCCACCCCTTCTAGACCTTCATAACCCCATTGTTTGTGTCCATGGGTTATGTATGTATGCATACAAGTCCTTTGATTGACCTCTTTCCCACCCACCCATCCACCCCCACCTGCCCTCTGAGGTTTGACAGTCTGCTCCATGCTTCTGTGTCTCTGGATCTATTTTGTTTATCACTTTATTTTTTTCTTTAAATTCCATATATGTGTGAGATTATGTGATCTTATTTTTCACTTAATGGCTAATTTTGCTGAGCATAATACTCTCCGGGTTCCTCCAAGACATACTTCTTTTTTACTGCTGCATAGTATTCCACAGCTTTTTAATCCACTCATCTACTTATGTTCTGCCTGTATTTTAAAGGAAGGGTTTTGTGGTAGGGAATCTAACCAAGCCGAGTGGCTTTCAAGCCCTCTTTTATTCTAAAAATGCCCCCTAGGTTGAAAGTATCTATAGTCCATGAGGACCCAAAGCAATAACATCCCTTTCTGAGGCTGGGATATACAGCTTGGCTAATTGGGCTACCACAAGCACACAGTACCAAACCCTTGAACTTTGATGAGCCTACAAGTGAACTTTCTAGTCAAACACCCCACATACCAATACAAGTTGACTAATTCTTTACACACAGTGGATATTCATTGGGTGAAGGAACAAATGGTTTTAAAGGTCAAAGGATTGTCCAGTTGTCTCCTGGTGATAAACCATATTCCTAAGAATAGTGAACAGAAGGAAGGATAAGATCTGGTGCCAAAAAAGATGTAGAAAAATTACTTAGAGATAGCTTTCCTCTCTGGTCCACGATAAAATTGTGAACTGGTTGAAATGCATCTTCTAAGAGCCCCCAAACCTTCCTTTCTGCCCCATCTTCCTTATTGTCACTCTTTTGTCCAGTTTCTTCTTGTACCCATGACAAGTGACCACTGAAGTTTACAGTCTTGCCATGACTTCCTCCTCTGTGCAGCTTACACTCATGACAATACTGACAGAGAAACTTATACAAGGTCTAAATGGCTGATACAGTTGAATCTTGTCTTTCATTAGGATTCTTAATTTTTAATAAAAGACACAGAAATGCACCTCCACTTCTTTACTGTCTCAGGATACTTGTACAGTCACATGAACCTTCCAGTTCCTCTGAAGTCGCCATGGGCAGCATGACGTGCCCTGGGGTTACTCATGCATGGCTTTGTCTACACTGAGAGTTATTGTATAGGCTCCAAAATGCTCACTGGTCCCAAATTACAGTCCTTAGCCATAATCTGAGGGAAGAGGACCAGGATACCAGTTTAATTCCAAGATTTGGCTTGGCCGGAAGGAAGTCCTCTTCTACTCATTCTTACTGAGAGCAACTAAATCATAGGAATCTATTTTACATCACGAGACAAAAGTTCACATACACGATAGCCAGTCATAACACAGCCAGCTAAGCTAAGGGTAGAGGTTTGAGACATTCTGAATCTCCATGTTACATTATAAAGTAGTCTAAAATATCTGTGGCCCAAATGTAGACTAATCAGTACTTGTTTAGTATGACTATAGTTTGAAGATTTGCTTATAGCCAATTATGATACACATATCTGGTCTGGGATATATATTTTGTAGTGGCTCTTCTAAATGGATCCACAAATTAATTTATTTAAATGTGTTTACCATGAGCAGTTTAAATAAACAACATTTATTTTGGCAGGAGATTAATTTTTAACTTGGCTGCTGCTTCCAGACAGATTATTGTCAGGTTATGACAGTGAACTAACCTTGGAAGAAGGAGGGATTTACAGGGGATTATTTTGTTTTCAGACCTTTGAGCTTGCATTTCTCCAAAGAGGCTGATAATTTTGTCAATGCTCAGGGACATTGAGTCCCAAAAACACTGCAATGTTTGCATCTTTCTGACCTGCTTTCAATAATAACCCCACATCTAGAGAACTGAAAATGTTCCTTAAAAATGAATTTTTTTCCCCACATATACTCTTTAGAGGCTGTTTTGTTGGTAAACTAGAGATTTATAGAGAACATCTTCCAGGAGCAGGGTAATACAGGGTGGGACACAAGTAGGCTCACAGTTGTGAGTACACAAAACCCAGAGTTTATTCTAGTATTATTATTTCTTAACTATTATATTGTTTTCCATATAAACAACTGTAAAACTACTTTTGCTCCACCCTGGATATTGGGAAGAACTCTGAACAGAGCATTAGGGATCTGGGTTCAAGTCCCAACTCTAAGAAGATCACTAACTGAGTGTGCACTTGCAAATGCCTTGGCCTAAGTTTCTCATTTGTAAGATGAGGATATTTCAAGATGATCACTACAATTCTTTGGCAAAAAGTGCACACATCATGAAACCAGCCTAGGTTTTGCCCAAGGTTGTCCTGGGATCTGCACAAAGATGACAGATCATAGTCAGCATTTAGAGCCAAACTTTCATCTCATGAATATCCCTTATTCCTTATAAAACCATACATTGTATAGGGAACACAGTTATATATGTAGTGACTAGATAAGCTATTTTCAGAATATTTGCTCACTACTAATTAAGTTATTACTGAGAGACTATTATTTACCAGGCCCTGTATACGGCATGTTTACAAAGATTATCTCACATAAACAACATGGCAACTCCAGGTAGATATCATCACCCCCATTTTATGGATCAGGAAACAAGCTCAAAGAAGTTGTTCTACTAGCCTTAAGTGGCATCACTAGAAAGTGGCTGAAATGGGATGGAAACTATGCAGTCTTAGTTCAAAATTACTTTCTTTGAATTCCTTATAAATTACCCTTTATGGTGGCAACCAAGATCTACTGTACAGTCTAAAAGCTCACAGTGCCTCTATCCCATTTGACCCCAATTTTAATGTCTCCACTTTCAAGCATAATTCATGACAACAATGTTACCTGACATTGCAGCTCTTAATGGACTAGGAACCCAAAATTATTTTTTATTACTGGCTAGCAGAATAGAAAAAAGGAGGGTTTCTTGGAGAAAGGGACAACTTTCACCTCTCCATTTAAACATTGCTTGGAATTTATTAACAAATTACCAGTTTATGATACAAAATTACAAGCCACAAATCAAATTTCTACGAAACACCACCACAGGCTACATAAATGCTGTAAAGTAGCTATCAACATTCCATTTGGTTCTCTCTCTTACTGAAAAACAAACAAACAAAAAACATACAAAAAAACTCCAGTAATTAAGCTTGAAGTAAAGTGGAATAAGTAAGTCTGATTATTTTAATCAGAGAAAGATGATCCAAGACAACAGATTCATATCTTGGTTTCTTTTAACATAAAACATTACCTGTACATATACTTTGCAAAACATCTAAACTATAAGCAAAACAGAAATATGTGCCCTAATTAGATGTGAGAGTAAATTCATGAGGATATAGAAAATGGTTTAAACTTTTTTCTTTTCTTTTTTTCCCTTTTACAAATAGGTATCAGATATGATGGGTGGCTTCATTAAAAAGATTCTCACTAGAATGTCTTATCATTTAAAATTCAAATAATGTTTTTGTTATTTTGCTCTCCCTTTGTATTACATAAAGCCATGTGAAAATTCTCTAAAAGATTCAAGGGTGATATTTTGGGCAGCATTTTGAAACATAATGAAGAAGTAAGAAGCCATACCTTGAAATCATACGTGGCATCCGGGTTTTCGTCGCAGGCGATAACTTCCGGTGCCATCCAGTAGGGAGTACCGATGAAGGTATTCCTCCTGCCCACTGTTCGATCCAGCTGGGCACTGACTCCAAAGTCCACTATTTAAGAGAAGGCAAAATGAATCAAGTTTACAGTTGTTATAGGATGCTAAAATAAATATGCACCTTTGTTAAGATATACATAACATAAAACTTAACCATTTTAAAGTGTTATAGTTCTGTGACATTAAGTACATCACATTGTTGTGCAACCATCACTGGCATTCAATTCCAGAACTTTTTCCTCTTCCCCAGCTGAAACTCTGTAGCCATTAAACAATAACTAGCCCCTCTCCCCTCCTCCCAGCCCTTGGTAAACCCCATTCTACTTGCTGTCTCTATGAATCTGACTACTACAAGTACCTCATCTAAATGGAATCACATAATATTTGTCTTTTTGTGACTGGCTTACATCTCTTAGCATAACGGTTTTCAAGATTAATCCATGTTGCAGCATGTGTCTTTTTTTTTTAGGGCTGGGGGAGGGAAATGGGAAGGGTAAGGGAAAGGTGTGGGATACTCCCGGGAAATGTTCTTCCTTTTGAAAGCTGAATAATATTGTATTGTATGCAGGTACCACATTTTGTTTTTCCATTCATTTGTTAATGGACACTTGTGTTGCTTCTTCCTTTTTGCTATTGTGAATGTGTATTTTTAAATTGCATGTATAAATGGATGAAGTGAACCAAGAACAAAATCATGAAGTGTTATATGTGTTTATACCAAGGCTTCCTAGGGACCAAAAATAGCTGTTAAATAAAAAGCAAACTTGGTTGCCACCATAAAGGGTAATATTTAAGGGATTCAAAGAAAGTGATTATGAACTAAGTTTCCGGAGTCAGACTGCATAGTTTCCACCCCATTTCAGCCACTTACTAGTGATGTGACTTAAGGCTAGTAGATCAACCTCTTTGCGCTTGTTTCCTGATCCATAAAATGAGGGTGATATCTACATAGAGTTGCTATGATGTTTATCTGAGATAATCTTTGTAAATGTGCCATATACAGGGCCTGGGGTATTATAGTATCTCAGTAATAACTTAATTAGTGGTGAGCAAATATTCTGAGAATAGTTTATCTAGTCACTACACATATAACTGCGTTCCCTATATAATGTATGCTTTGGTTTTACAAGAAATATTCATAAGATGAAAGTTTGGCTCTAAATGCTAAATATGATATTTATATATTATAACCAAAAAAGGTAAGAACAAATGTTTGGGATATAAACATGGGAGATATTTAAATCTCTGAAAATAACCAATTATACTGATAGTGATTCTTTTCTAGGAGACAAATTTGAGATATCTGTCAATTTATACTCTTATTCATAGACATCAAGCATGTGGGGATTCTGTTTGTTTATAGTTTAGATAGCCATATCTGAACAATCTCAGATTTGTTAAGGGAAGGGCTCTAACGGATAGCACCAGAGAAAAGGATTCCCTCATGGACAACTCTGGCAGATGGAACTGGGATAATTGGTATGCATGCCAAGTAGAATATTGAGCATCCATTTTGCACAGGTAATAATGAAATCGATGTAAATTTAACCTAAAACATATGGGAATACAGCAGGAATTCATTATTTTAAACATGTCTAACTGTGGATATTTTTAATAAAAAATGGGTCACCATTGTTCTGTTATAGCAATAATGTAAGATATAGAAAAAAACATTTCAAGGTCACTCACTTATCATTTAAAGGGTCTTTGCTTTAAAAAAATCAAATTTTCTATACATTAATTAAGCACATGGTTCTGTTTAGCACAGACCAAGTCACTCCTCAAAGAGCTTTTAGAAAATATTTTCCTCTCTATTCTTAGCCCAATGACCTCCAAATCCACAGTGATAAATTTATATTCATTACAAAAAAACCCCCACAAAAACACAAAAAAGTCAGCTGTCGAAATAATCTTATCAATTCCTGCAATTCCTAGGCTCACTGGATTCTGTTCTTACCTAGTTTAACTTCTGCATTTTCAGTCAGCAAGACATTTTGCCCTTTAATATCTCGATGAATCACTTTATGCTGGTGCAGGTGACTCAGCCCCTGGAGTGAAGGAGAGTTGAAAAGGATGAATAGGAACATAAGCCAAGATGCAAATAAACTATTTCAGATGTTAATGATCCAAAAAAGTAGTAGACTCACCCAGAGATACTTTCATTATTATACTCATATCTTTCATGTACTCACAGCACTATACTTAGCCATAGGCAATGGATCAATATAAACTGAACTATAGAAGTGGCCTTTGCTATGCATGGTGCTGTGCTAAGGGAAATGCTTTCATACCTACTTTGACCTCAGGAACCACCTAAGAGATGATGTGGGCCAGCATACATGAGTTCAGCTAATACCCTGTTTCCCCAAAAATAAGACAGTATCTTATATTAATTTTTTCTCCCAAAGTTGCACTAGGTCTTATTTTCAGGGAATGTCTTATCTTTCCATGTGCTAGGTCTTATTTTCGGAGGATGTCTTATTTTCAGGGAAACACGGTAGTACCGTGAAAAGTGAGGACTGCCTGTCTTTGCCAGTTTGTGATGGGAACACCTATAAAGTCTACATACAAAAAACTAAACTGATTCAACTAAATCCTCCACTTTTGGGGGCAATGTTTGAGTTACTTCCTATTAGAAGTAAAAGTTACTTCCAAAGTAAAAGTTACTTCCTATTACACAGATTTAATTAAGCACAATAAAATATTTCTCAGAACAGCCAAGACATTTCCCATTGGCTTTAGCCAACATGGCCCACATTAAAAAGGAAAGCAACAATTTCTGTTTCCTTTGTTGGCATTTATCACTGCCATTTGAGTGCTTTATGACATGTGTGACTTTGTGTTCATTATATGAAATTATTATTCAGTGACACCCAAAACCGATCATATTTCAGGTATCCATGAATTACTCTGATTTTGGCTTCTTTGGAGTGTTAGTTCTAAAACCTACAGATGTGCTCTAAATGTGTTTTGTTTTGCTTTTCATAAAAAAGTATAATCTAAGAGATTCTAAAATTGGAATCTTGAAGCAAATTTTGTTATGCTAACACTTGATAATTCAAAGTATTTTGTACACCTAACTATTGCCTTTTATTAGTTATGATTTTCTGTACTTTTTTTTTTTTTGCCATAACAACATAATCATGATACGAAAGATGAGGTTCACACAAAAAGAAAAACAAACAAACAAACAAACAAACACACTATATGTCTAAATTCCCTTGTTGAAAAAATTCAGCATGAGAATATGGGTGACCAAAAAGGTCCATATGTATGTTTAGTAATATCAATAAATATAAACCATGCAACAGGACAGTTGCACTGGTTTGGGCCTTTAAAAATTACCTTTAGTATCAAGTTAGTTTGGCTCAAGGTAGGCATCAAGCAGATTAAAATGTATGGTTTTAATAGCATAGTACCACCCCACGAATCCTTAAAATTCCATTCCTTGCAAAATGGTTGGAAGCATGTACCAGAGCACATGAGTGAGCCAAAGGGTCATATAATGCAAGGAGGGTCATTTCTGAAACTCCTTATGATCAAATGTTCCTTCCAACGAGTCATCTTATCTCAAATGCCAGCATCATTTGGGAGAATGATTGCATTGGAAGAAGGAAGAAAATAGTGGTTTTCAAGCATTTTTAAACTAGGTATCAAGAGATACTCATGGGATGAAACCTCCCTTCTGCTTTCTGATTTCCTCTGAAGATCATAGGACTGAGCCCTACAGGGTTACTAGTACAGAAAAAAGGTGTATTACACAGAACCCACCCTGAAGACCCAATAGATGCTTGGTGGTCTGGATGACTAAACATCCATCGTGCTTTCTCTGAATGAGTAAAATGTTAAGTCAGAAATTCAAATTAAGTTTACAAGATGACACATCAATACTTGGAAATAAATGTCAAAGTTGAAGAGCAGCAGTTATACTTCCTTGTTTCTCCTCAAATTTTGTTTTGCGTTCTGTTTGAGAAATATGTTTGTCTCCTGCAAAGCCATGGTGATATTATCCTGTATTTTCTCTTAGGAGTTTTTTTTTTTGTGTGTGTTTTTATTTTTTATCATTCACATTTATGTCTATAATCCAGCTCGAATTAATTTTTTAATATGGAATAAGTAAGTGTCCAAGCTTCATGTCCTCACATGGATATTCGATTGAACTTAATGACTGATAAGGGCACGCTTTCCCTAGGCACTGAAGCAGTTCCTTCGACATAACTTAGGTGACTGTGAAGCAGGTCTGCCCCTGGGCTCTTGATTCTGTTTCCTTGGCCATTCAGCTATTCTTGTGACAATACTACTCTGTTCTAATAACTTGGCAGCTTTATAAGTCCCAATAACTAGCAGCATACTAGCACATCCTCCAGCTTTGTTCTCCAAAAGACTGCCTTGAGTATTCTTAGCCCTTTGCATTTTCATATAACATTTAAAAAATCAGTTAGTCAATAGCCACAGAAATACCTAAAATGATTTTGGTAGGGAGTTCAAAGAAGTCATGATCAAATTGGGGAGAAATAACATTTTTAGAATACTGAGCACCCTAATCTTTGAAATACCTCTATTTACTAAGGTCTTTTTTAATTTCTCTCAATAATATTTTGTAGTTTATGATGTAGAAGTTGTTCACATCTTTCTGTAAATTTATTTCTAAGTATTTGATTTTTATGCCATCATAAATGTAGTAATTTAAAATATTTTATATTTTCTTTTGCCTAAGGTGGTTTGAATTTAATCAATAAACATTATTTTAATGCCCTTCATCCTTCTTAACTTCCATCTATCTATCTATCTATCTATCTATCTATCTATCTATCCATCCATCTGTGCATCCATTCACAACACATATCTATCTTTCAAAGGTGTATCTTGGACACATTGTAAAAACATTTTTAACTTTTGTTTCCTTAAATTAAGAAGGCAAAGGTTATAAATAGATAATGATTGCCAAGCAGATCTAGTAAGAATACTCAGTGGACATGTAATAGCCTCCATATTAGTAGCAAAAGGTAATTAATCTAATCTGAAGGACCAACTACCTTCTTCTCCTTGAATTGAGCTGGCAAATATGACCATATTGCTCAGACTGCCTGATTGTGGGCAAAACTGGGCAAATAGGCACAGTCTTGTCTAGCTATTTTCATTAATTTAAGTAATTAACACTAAAAGAATTTTATTTAAAAGGGTAAAATCTGATAAACTATGTTCTATGTATGTACTGAAATGCCTAAGTCACACAATCTTTAAATTAGTCATAAACTTCCACAAATAGAAAACTCCAATGAGTGATTAAAATATCTCTAAAACAATCCATTTCCTAAGTGGACACCATCTACAATATATGGACTAAAATCAGATTTCCATTTGGAAACACCACTGGAAATGAATTCCTTGTTAAAAGAACTCACCCAATGCTAACTCAAATGAGAGTGCACATTGCTCATTCAGAATGATACTCACTTCCACTAGAACAGACCACAAGTAAACAACTACCATTGCTATTATCACTGTTAGAATAAAGCTTTAGAAGTTTCCAATATGCTTATAAATTTCAGTGGAAGGTCAGTACAAAGTTCAACACCTCCCATTGCATCCTGTATTGCTACTTACTCGTAAGATCTCCCTGCAGATGTATGCAATCCACTCCTCCTTCAAGGTGTTACCTTTCGTGTTCTTGATCAGGTCAGTGACAGAGCCAGCTCCACAAAACTCCATCACCAACTGGCAAAGGAAGCACACATGCCATTATTATAATTACATGTCTCAGCTTCTACTGGGCTGAGTTATGAAAGCATACAATACTCCAGTTGAATGCTTTGGAATGTCTTTCCTGAAAAGAAAACGTGATCATAAAACAATATATGAAACATAAACATTCATCTTCATTTATTCCCAAAATTATAGGAAGGAAAGATTGTTTTTAGTTTTATAATCTGAAAATGACAGTTTCAAATTGAGAAACATCTCCATATTCTATGTATTTTATAAAATGAGGGCAAGTAGGCAGTTCAGATGTTGTTGAGAATATCAGTGCTTATTTAGCAGTTGAATTCATCCTTCCTACACAAGTAGGGTCATTCTCCTGTCCAAAGGAGCTATGGTGATCTAGGCAATCCCACCTTAGGACAATAAAAGTGCATGCTATTTCTTTTATTGGCTTGTAAATGGCATTGTAAGTTGTCAGAGTGAGGACTATCTGTTTTTCATTAAACTCAGCAGTTGTTCCCAGGAGGCTGGACACATCAAATAAATTAAATAAACAATAAGCTCTAATTTATCACATTTTAACCAAAATGCTCCAACTTCCCAATAAATATGAATTCATTACAGCACTCAGCAGCTTTATAAAATAGGCAGAAAATAAACACGTCTCTTACTTAACAGATAAGGAGAGACTAGAAGAGAAAAAACTATCTGCTTTTGTATCCATTTTCTTGGATTAGAGAAACATATCCATTTCCATACTTTCTCTTTTTCAAAAGTCTTCAATAAAAAGTCTCCTTACAGGTACTTATACAATTTTGTAATTACATAGTAACAATTCAGAAAAACCACCAATCAATCTTTGACCTGATTCTAGAAACAGAACTGATATGGGGTCATAATGAAATCACATTGATGATTTTAGTTTTGTCTAAATGTACATTCTTAACATCAGCACCATGTCACCAGATCCTAAAAGATACCCCACTAGGCTGCAAAATATTAATATTAAAACTATGTTTCCTTTTTTTTCTGTATGCCTAGTTGAATCTCACAAAAACTCTTGAAACAATGCCTGTTCTAACATGTCATCTTATGACTCCACACAGGGAAGGGATGTCCATGTTCTTCAGAGCTTTTGAAAGGAAATTTGAGAAGTGCCAAGTTAGATCATATTTCAACCCAATAAGAGTTGTAAAGTTTTCATATATGCTAGCCAGGAAGCTATCAAAGGCCAGAAAATCACATTAGAAAGAACTCAGAAGTCAATTTGAAGAAGTTGTTACTGGCTAAACATGCGATAATTTGAATATCAATAAGAATAACTTCAATATCTCAAACACATTGAATATGCTTAACTAAAGGCATTAACCAAGACACTCCTAAAAAAGAATACATCTGGCACTGTTTCAAGAAAATAAGAAACAACTTCTAATTTTGAGGACTGGTAAAGATGTAAAAGTTAGGAATTCTACACTGCCTTTCTAGTACAAATTTTACCATGGGTAATCCTATATAATAAAATCTTAATATGCAAATTGACTGGCAAATGACTGGTGGAATGACTGGTTGCTATGGTGCATACTGACCACCAGGGGGCAGATGCTCAATGCAGGAGCTATCTCCAGCCTGCAGGCCCCAGGCCAGCCAAGGCGAGTGCCATTGGGGGCCCCCAATTATACTGCCAGTCTTCCTGTAGATTGGCCCTGATCTCTGGCCAGGCCTAGTAACCCTATCTATGGATGAATTTCATGCACCAGGCCTCTAGTTAAATAATAAAAGAGATAAAGCTTGTATTCATAAAAATCAGGTATTTCATCTAATAAATGAAGAAAACAAGTAGAACATCACTATTACACAACCTCTAATAAGCTAATGGACTTAGGAGCTGATCATCAATGGCTGCTAACATAAAAAAATAAGAAATAACCAGCTCTGACTTGCCTTTTGATTAGAATAATATATCACCCAAGAATAGTCTTGTCTAAACCAAAACCAAACCAACCAACAAAACAAACAAATCCCCCAAAACTGAATCTGATGAAGCTTCTAATTCCAACTACCAATTTACAGGAAATTCAGAGGACTGAGAAACATATTACATACTGGGGACACAATCATCAAAACCTAGAATAGCAAACTCCATAGGGAAAATGACCCATTTATTCAACAAATAAATTGCAGGAAGGGAAAGAAAAGGATGGAGGGGAAATCTATAAATTAAAAAATATCTCAAAAGATACCAATGGGTGCAACTTACTTAGATACTACTAACTTTTTAAAAGTTATTAAATTTTTTAGACAATCTACAGATTAGATATTAGAAATATGGTTAATAATTTTGTAAGTGTGACAATGGTACTGGGTTTATGTTAAAAAAAAGTTCTTACTTTTAGAGAAACATTCTACAGATAAAATGATACAATATGATGACAGTCTTTTCTATAAATAATACTAAGACAATTGGATATACACATACAAAAGAATAATGTTGAACCCCTAACTCACACAACATAAAAAAAATCTCAAAATGGATCAAAGACCTAAATATAAGAGCTAATACTATAAAACTCTTAGAAAGAACATAGGGATAAATCTTCATGACCCTGGATTTGGCAATAGTTTCTTAGTGATGACAACAAAGACACAAACAACACAAAATATAGATAATTTGGATTTCATCAAAATTAAAAACTTAGTGCATCAAACGACACTATCAAAAGAATGAAAAGTCAGCCTACAGAATAAAAAAACATTTGCAAATCATATCTAATAAGGTCAAGTATCTAGATCTATAAATAACTTACAACTCAACAAGAAAAATATCACAATTTTATTTTGTTACTATTATTTTTAAAATATATTTTTATTGATTTCAGTGAGGAAGGAGAGGTAGAAAGAGGGAGAGAGAGATAGGAATATTAATTATGAGATAGAATCATTGACCAGCTGCCTCCTGCATGCCACACCCTGGAAAAAGAGACCACAGGGTGCCCTGGCCAGGAAGCTGTGACTTCTTAGTTCATAGGTTGATGCTCAAACACTGATTCACACTGGCCAGGCAACAATACAATTTTTAAATGGGTAAAAGGCTCGAATAGACATTTCTGCAAAGAAGATACATAAATGACTAACAATCACATGAAAAGGTGTTCAACATTAATAGTTATTAGGAAAATGCAAGTTAGAACTATACAATGACATACCACTTCACATTAGAATAGCTGTACTTAAAAAAAAAAAAAGTAGAATATAACAAGTGATGGCAAGGATCTTGAAAAACTATATATAAGCTTCATAAACTGTTGGAGAAAATTTAAAGTGGTACAGTCACAGCACAGTTTGATGATTCTTCAATAAATTAAACATAGAATTACCATACGATCTAGCAATTCTACTTTCAGCTATATGCCCAAAAGAATTGAAAACAGCTGTTTTGGATTTCATCAAATAATGTTCAAAGCTGCACTATTCACAACAGACCAAAGGTGAAAATACCAAAATGTGCATCATCAGGTGAGTAAACTAAATGTGGTATATTCATACAAGAGAATATTATTCAGCTATGAAAACAAATGAAATTCTAATGCATGACACAACACATATGAATCTTGAAAACATTATTAAATAAAGACAGACCAAAACAGGCTATATATTGCACAAATCCATTTATACGAAATGTCTAGAATAAACAAATCTATTGAGGCAGAAAGCAGATTACTTGTTGTTGCCAGTCACTAGAGGGAAGAAAGGGAGTTCCCACTTAATGGGTACAGTTTCCTTGATGATGACAAAAGTTCTGGAACTACGTAGAGGTGATGGTTGCACAACATTGTGTACTTAATGCTACTGAGTTATACATTTTAAGATGGTTAAGGGTGAATTTTATGCTGTGTGTATTTTACCAGAATTTTAAAAAAAGATATACTGAGAAGATCTGTTTCAAAATAATAGTAGAAAGGAGGAAGATGGGGCAAGATTGGCCTTGATGAATGGTTATTGGGGTTACTTTTGGGCACATGGGTGTACATTATACTGTTCTGAATACTTTTGTGTATTTTAAGGGTTCTTCACAAAGTTTTTAGAAATCCCATTATGCAGCATACCATGGTTGAATGGCAACATGACGGACCCAAGCGAAGTCCTTGGGTAGAAAGAAAAGAATATATTTTCTCAAGTGAGCAAAACATATGTTTGTGCCTCTTTTCCAAATCCCATTTTGAAAAACACAGTGACCAGACCTCCTGTGATGCATCCATTTCTCCTGTATCAGCTGGAGAGAATGTCCTACCACTGAGCTCTTTAGGCCATGTAATTACAGTTCCCAAGGAAAGCAGGGGAACGCCAGTGACTCCAGTCCCTTAAAATTAGATTGGACCAAATACTTTCAAATATTCTGTAGGAAACAATCCTGCTGTAGCCTGGCACTAATGTTAGCGATTTCTATAATTTGCTTTTCATTCAGCTCCAGCTGAAGGCTGCTAAATTCTTTTCATCTCACCATGGGACAAAATGATTGTTAAATTATGTAATGGGATTTTTTTTTTTTAAGAAAGAAACCAGCATTTGCTAGCAATCAGTTCCTATAGCCACACAGCAACACTGATAATTATTGCCACCACACAGCGGGGACTCTCCCTCACCACCAGTAACCTCCGCACATTAATAAAGAGACACAGGACTCAACATGCTGAGCCTAGCAGCAGTAAGTCAATAACTTCATATGTCACAAGCAAGAAATAATGGATCATTAATATTCTTCCTAAAAGAAAGTTCTCAAACAGTTGACACCAGAGTAACAATACTAGCTTACATTTGCTGAGAATCTACCTACCGTATGCTAGGTACTGGGCTAAGCGATGGTCACCTATTATTTCAGTAATTCTCCTCCTCAGTTTCCTTTTCATGATTTACTTGGAAATAAAGCTTAGGTATGGTCCGCAGACTTATCTGTATACTCATTAAATAACCAGAGCAGGGTTGAAAGCATGGTGCTCTCTCAAGTACAGCTACTAACC